AAATGTAATGAACATTGGAAATACATTGGTCTGTGTGCATTGCATGAATATAATGTACATGTTTCACGTTTTGAATGGAATTACTGAAATATTTTCAACCTTTTGATGATATTCTAATTTACTGGCCAGCACCTGTATATCCAGCGGTCAATGGGTAATCAGGCGGGGTACACCCTGGACAGAGCCAGTCCATCGCACAGAGACACACAGGACAAACAATCATGCACACACACACTCACTCCTAAGGACAATTTAGAAAGACCGATTGACCTAACAGTCATGTTTTTGGACTGTGGGAGGAAGCCGGAGAACCCGGAAAGAACCCACACACGCACAGGGAGAACATGCAAACTCCATGCAGAAAGATCCCAGGCGCGGAAGCGAACCCAGGACCTTCTCGCTGCAAGGCAACGGCTCTAACCTCTGCGCAGCCAGCATTAGCTCTAACAAATATAATTCATAGTTCATGAAAATGTGATTGGTGTTTCAGCATTTTAATATAAAAGTCTTTATAGTTGTTTTATGTTGTGCTAAAAACATCTGGACGTCTGCTATCTGTTATGCATATCAGAGCCTGATATGAAAATGCTTTCACATCCATTTACTTATCAGAACAGCTAACAGGTGGTCAATGGATTTCATAGAACTACTGTCCTGTTTTAATATCGTGAGAACAACATGTCAAGATGAGTTGTTGAAATCTAGTAGAAGAGAACGAACCAACACACTAAACTTCACATGGGTTCTTCCTGTCACTCCTCTGTCGGGAACCTTGGTGTGACATTTTCCTATTTAAAAGAGACAATGTGTTGTTTCTACTTTATCTCTGGAAACTGACTGATTGAGACCTGCATAATGTGATTTACAATAATCTGGGTGAGATGGGATGAAGGCATTGTTCAATGGTGTTCCTAAAGTGCCAAAACTTGTGCACACAATTTGCGTGAACGTGTCAAACATCGAGCGAGTGAATGTGACACAATCGGGTTCTACTTCAAAACATTGGTTGGTTTTCAAGTGTCTAAAGGTTTACATCCACTGTGTTTGTCAGAACTCCTGCCAGAACTTTGAGGTCCACTAAAAATTCCCACATCAGCTGTTTGTTTCCCTGGTGAACTGAATTGAGGCTAAATGTCTTCCTTTGCAGATAAAGTGATGTAAATAAAAATATGATGAAAAAGAGCCAGTCACCTGTAAACTTCCATGCCGTGTGCGTAACCTGTGCAGCCACTCTGGTTCCCGCAGAGCTCCACTTAACACGGTTTCGCCGTACTGACCCTCTGAATGTCTCAGTCTGTCCGACAGCTACAAGAGAAAAGGCATACAGCAGATCCATGCTCACTTGATTTGACAGATCACCACCCAGATATGAAGAACATTCTGTACCGAGTACATGCACCGACCTTAATGACCTCTGCTGTCAGCACAAAGTCAGGCTCCCTCTGCTTCAGGAGGGCCCCTCCAACCACCTCACAGTAATGAAAGGCCTGAGAGGAAAGTCCGAAGTCCAACAACCGACAGGCATACAGGAACTTATACACCTGAACACACACGTAAATAAATAAATGTTTATGGTACTGAAAGATTCTAAACATCAGTTTTAGGATTTTTTATCATCTGAGGCAGCTCCGATACACGTAACCCACCTGAAGGGACGGTGTTGTGAAGTGTTTGCTTCCGAGTGCCTGGCTGTACTCGTACAACTCTGTGCACTGGATGGCAGAATTTGTGGCAAAGCATCCAAACGTTTGCCTAGAAGACAAAACAAAAGCAGGAAAATCACACTCCAGTCCATGCATGGCCTACTGAAAAGTCACAGCTCAATCTGATCGTTTTGAATGTCCTGAAAACAGCAGATCCAAAACCTCAGCCTATCGAATTTAGGCTCCTTTGACCCTGGACAGAAGAGAAATAAAGGTTCTTACGGGGAGTTAATCATAAAATGTTATCTAATGGTTGCTAATCAATAGGAAAAGCAAAAAAAAAATGTTCATGATCTAATATTAGTATAAGATATGACGGTTGCATAACCATAAACTAATTATCTTAGCTCTTCATTATTGGTCAGAGTGCACAATGGACTCACTACGATTTAAGAAGTGCACAAAACTTAAAAGGAACCCAGGTTACAAAACTTTGTGGTTCTTAAAAGATAAATGTTACTATCAATTATATTAAAGTGGTGTAAAAAAACCTTCTTAATGTCTTCATTTTTATAAAATTTGTAAATGTAGCTTAACTTGTAGGTCGCCATTGTTGTTAGTGTCGCACTGCACTCTGGGTAGTGACGTCATTTGGTTGTACGTCGGTTGCACCGGCCGGCTTTGGGACCCTGTAGTGACAGTTCAGTGACATCAACATGTCATCTGTTCAGCCTTTTCACTTTGAACCAGAGTGAAACATTAATGAGGACGTCGGTGACGATGTCTCACAAAATGAGCATCAAAATGAAGAGCAAGAAGGGCGGGATGAAGCGAGTGCAGGACAAAACGGGTGGTGCATGTGCGGCAAATGTGTCTCCATGGTAACCGAGAGGGAGAAAGCTCACATTTTTGTCTGCAGAAGTTAACGGTAAGCTATCGTGCCATAAAACGTGTTCAATTATGAATGATTTTGGAGAATATTAGCATCCAGAGCTGCCGTGTGCTTCACAGATGATTAGGATATTCAGCGAAACGACTTTAATCGTTTTTGCAGATATTATATATTTGGAGAACACTGCATTGCTACACTTCCTGCTTGTTTTACTGACGGGAGAGGTGAATGTTCAGCGTCATCCGTGACGAGTGGCGTGTCCGATGGTTCGCCCAACATGACAGGAGCGGCAGCTGCAGGAGCGGGTTGTCGGCTCAGGAGAGCGTCTCTTGTCTCTCCGAGGGCATTTAGGCTCCTTGTGTGGGAAAATGGTCGGTAAAGCATTTAGTTTCCACCTCTTCTTATACCCAGCCGCTCTGGTGAGCTCTTTAAGCAGTCGTGGTCGACTGTAAGCCCGTAAACGCAAGCACGTAAACAAACACTAGCGTCAATAGCTATTCTTCCAACGGACTGGCACTCTGTCCAGGGTGTACCCCGCCTGATTGCCCGTTGACTGCTGGAGATAGGCACCAGCCCCCCTGCGACCCTACGTGGACATGCAGTTCAGAAAATGGATGGATGGATGGACGCTGTTCATCCAAGTGCAACCAATGTACGTCATCGCCCCCAGAGTGCATTGCGTGAGGAAAACATGGCGTCCTACGTATGTCCAAAAATCTACTAAATATTATAGATTTATAAATAAACAGCAATATTTTGTGTGTTTCAAACAACATATTTTGGTACAACAGAAAACCTGTGGCTTATTAGGGCTTACACGTCCTCATAGCTGGAGTTCCTTTTAAAAGGTAGTATGGTTGTGGTGCCCCATTTTCATAGCGGCTGGCTGTACAGGTGAAACTTGAGAAATCTGAATGTGGTGCAAAAACAAATTTATTTCAACAATTCACCTCTAAAGGTGAAACTGATACATGATGCAAAACTCATTACACACAAAGCCAGATGTCACAGCCTTTATTTGTTATAATTGTGATGACCACGGCTCACAGCTGATGAAACCCCCACATTCACAATCTCGGACAATTAGAATATTGTGCAAAGGTTCAATATTCTAAACTCAAAGTGTCACACTCTAATCAGCTAATAAGTCCAGAACACCTGCAAAAGGTTTCTGAGCCTTTAGATGGTCTCCACCCCGGGTTTCCACGGGAGCCGTCAGCAGCACGTTACTGCAGCAGCACGTCTTGCTCGCGTTAGCTGCTGCTTGGCCTTTCCCACGAGACGCGAAGCAGCAGGGGAGCAGCTGTCACCGACCGAGCACGAAGTCACACGAGTGACTTCGTCAGTAAACACAACAACAAGCAGGAGAAAACTACAACATGGTTTGTGTTTTATGTTCTGTCCGTTTTATAATCGCCAATACGGACCTGAAAAACAAAGGAGACCGCTAGCTAGGCGATAACTTCTCACGGGGACGCACAGTTAGTAACTTTTCTTAAAAGTAAAGCAACCGGAAGGCAGTACGTTCTTTATTCTGAAAATCTCGGGAGCTTCTCTCCATTTCCGCGTCCGATTTCCTGTCTTTCCTTCCCCAAAAATGTCGAACTCGACCCGTTTCAGAGGCGTCGCGCGTAGAAAATAGAACCGGCACGTAAAGGCCGCGACATGCTGCTCCTGAGACGCGGCTGACTCGCGCTGCTGACGGCTCCAGTGGAAAAGGTTCTGTTGACTACAGCTGTTCCTATCAGCAGCTATGACGTGCTGCTGCAGTAACGTGCTGCTGACGGCTGCTGTGGAAAGCCGGGGTCAGAGTGTCACCTGTAAAGGTAGCACAGGTAGGGACAGGGAAAATGAACAAAGTGGGACCTGAACATGGTCTTCGTCATGGAAAGTTTCACTATTTGAATTACCTTTTTTCTACAGCCTGATGATGGTGCAGGGCAGCATTTAGGGACATGGAAAAATGATCAGAGAAATAAACAAAAGCTTTGAGCACAGAGTCATGGTTGCCTTTATATTTACAGTATCTTGTACCGTCACAATGGCAGATGGTTGTTACTGAAACTGCTCCAGATTTTGTCATGAAAATGGCCGTGCAGGATGAATTATGTCATACTGCACTGTGCAATTAAAACAAAGTGAACAGGGAGGACATAATCATGCTAAAAGTCTCAGTCTGACAAGCTGCAGAGCAGCCGACTGATGATTGGCAGACGTTGGACGAGTAGCTCACCTGTGGCTGCTGCCCAGAAGCACCAGTCTCTCTGCGTTGTTCGTAAACAGCCCAAAGGGAACTCCGGCTGTCAGGTAACACACATGAGCAGCATGGATGAGGCCTCTGGAGGCTGAATGGAGAAGAGCAACCGCAGATATCAGCTCACATGTCCATGAATGACAACCCGTCAATCAGTGAGTGTGTTTGTACCGAGTGAGTCTCCCATGGTGATGATGGCCTTCTGCTGCACAGCAGGGTCTCTTGCCTCATTGGAGAGCATTACAGCCAGATGGGGCCTCCAGTCTCCCCACTTTTTATTTGCACAGCTCTGGGCACAGAACCGGATCATTAAAACCCTTACTGGCTGATATAGCATCAGATTATTTTAATCCTGGAGTACGTGTGAGTTTTACAAAAATTTTACCAAGGCTACAGACGGAATTCTCCCAGAGAGCAGCTGGAAAAGAGTCTGCAAGGGATCGCTAGCTGCTAGCTGGCTTGTAAACCTGAAAAAGAGAGCAGTTTGTGCCATTTCACACCTATAGCCAAGACTAGCTGCAGTGCTAGTATGCTAAAACAATGAGCAACCTTTTTAAAGAGCATCCCTTCTGTCCGTTTGTGCAGAAGCACCCTGATAGCTCACATTCTGCACCTCCTGTCAATCGCAAATCTTAATCGGCCAGGCTATCTGCCAGTTATCTCTTAAGACATTCCTCCCCCTGACAACCTGGCACCTGCTGCTGCGTAACAGACGCGACCAATTTCAAAAATAGTCTGCAAAACTCAAGATTGGGTTACAGGATGAATAGTTCTCAGAAACGGCTGTTTAGTTATGCAACGAATCCTTCTCCCAATTGTAAAACATCCCTTGGTATAAAAGTTTATTCTAGTTGCCTTCTCAATGGATGACACCTCTGTAACTGGTACGATTAAAGGGCCGGACTGGCATTGCAATGCATCACTCCACATGATTTACATTCTGCAGCCAAGCGTTAATAGCCACTGGTATTTGCAGTTTAATCAGGCAACTCGGCTTGAAGGACAAGCAGATCTGATTTCAACTAGACATTTGAAACACTGAATGTGGTCTCTGCACAGGTAAAAAAAAAAGAAAACTAAATGATCTTATAACAGAAAGCTTTGTCACCGTGAGTTTTTCTTTGTCATCTGGTTTCCACCCCCTCCATCACACTGAAATAGCCGTGGATAAATTAAGACTACACAAAGTACGAGTGCGCTCATTTGAGTATTTGCTAGTGCAAAGTACAGACATGAGAACTGATCAATGCACTTTATCTTCCACCTTGAAAAACATGATTAAAATTTGTAAAAGTCACTACTCAGTGGCACCACCAAGGGGTGGCCAGGGGGCACCATTGCCAGCCCTGGAAAATTGTTGGCCACCACAAATCCTTGTTTTCTGGCTACATCTGATTTTTATTTTTTTATGACAATCCAAATTGCACAAATCAAATTCTGTCAAATCCAACCCAGGTCACTTTCATATGTGGTCCTGAATCGGACACACATCTGATGTTTTCAAAGTGACCACACTCGCAAAAGTGGTATCAAAGGTCATCTGACTTTTACATCATCACCGTGACTGCGTGTGAGGTGGACTTCGCAAATCAGAGCCGAAGGAGGCTGGAAGCAGCAGGATCACATGACAGTGAATCAAACCAGCTTCCTCACATCACTTGGTCACAATTTTGTCATTTCCCACCAGTCTGGAGAACATGCCGACTGCTAGCAGCGAACCTCTTTAACACGTCTCAGTTGTCTCACCTGTTCAGTACAGTGGTGTATGACCTGCTGCCCATTTTACTGGCCAGAAAGAGCGCGTGGCCCCACAGGCCGTTGATCATAGCCGATTCCAGGGCCTCCTGAGAGCCACACAAAAATGAGAAAAACACATAGAGCTTAATGGACTCAGACTACCACTATTTAGGTGTCATGGCTTCCAAAACTATACCCACAGTTTTACCGACCGCACTTAAAAGTGAATGAGGGTGCCTGCAGGGCCGGCGTAAACTGCTTTTGTTAGGAGCTGGGCACAGGCTCAAGCAGACCAACAATCAATACAATGCTGTGTGCTCCATGTTTAAAATATATGAGTTTGTTTAATTTTTACCCTGATTATTCTTAAGATAAAATAATGGGGTTCAACATGAATAAAAGTTGAAATTAGCGGGAAAAACATGTGATGGTTGTCTCTCATCTTGTGCAGTTTTTATGTTTAAAGCACTTGTCCCTGTCAGAACACTGCATAGAGCTCTCTTTAGTTCTTTTTTGGCCCGCTGAATTCATTAACATTGTTTAAAATGTTGTTGACTCTTTTAATTCAAAAAATGGAGCTCAATAAGGAGTCTTAATAACGGTTGTTTAAAATGTCTGTTTGCTGGAATAACGAGACAACCCCTGAGTTCTGTCTCCCGTCACTGTGGTCCTCTACTGAAACAAGCGTGAGCTGATTAGTTTGTGCTGTAAAAACAATAAAAATTAAAACAAGTATCCCACTCGACACATTTAACACCCTGGGATTGATTTAAACCAGGGGTGTCAAATATGAGGCCCGCGGGCCGGATACGGCCCGCAAGCGGGTTAAATCCGGCCCGCGAGATGGTTGTGTAACCTTTATTTTCATACTTTACAGTGTAGAGTTAAAATAAACTTATCTTTGTGAGCACGTTTCCTCTGTAATGAGTATAAATAAAACAAAGCTGCGCTCAAGGCTCCCACAAGAACTTGAATCACATCCTGAAGTTGGCCGCCACTCAGGATGTGACTTCTGATGTTGATGTGCTGGTGAAAGCTAAAAGATGTAAAATACAATGAGTCAAATATACTTTAAGTGCTGCATGAAACTGATCTAGCCATGTGATCTGTAAGCTCTTTGAATCACTAAGGAATGTTTTTATTTGTTGATTTTTTTTTTTCAAATTTTCAAGTACACTTCAGGTGTTGTACTTGTACTACACAGTCCTCAGGCTCCAGCCTTGTTTTATATTGATTGTATTAAAACAAAGAAAACAATCTGAAGTTTTTTTTTATTTACCGGTCCGGCCCACTTGGGACTAGATTTCCCTCAATGTGGCCCCCTGAGCTAAAGTGAGTTTGACACCCCTGATTTAAACTAAACGCTTTGATGGAGAGGATTGGAAATGAACCTTTTTCCTTCCACCGAGCAGCAGCTGAGTGTAGCTCTGCAAGGCTTTTTCTGGGCTCTCGGAGCGAAAGCTGCTCAGGTCTCCTGTGAGAAGGTCACCTCCTCCAGTTGGTGGCGCTACGGTAGACGCAGGCTCATTAAAGTCAATGAGCGTGGGTGCATCTGAGCCCCCGTTTCCATTAGAACGGAAATCCTGCACAAGCAGCTCTGCGATGTCTGACCCCACCATTTGCTAAAAAAGATGAAAATTTGTTAGAATGGAGTTTTAAACTTTGACCGCTTCTTGATATGTACCACCTACCCCATTCTGTCTACAGAGAAGTATTAATAGATTCCACAAGAGGGCAGCAGAGCTCTTATCGTGTAGCTTTATGTCTCTCATGCAGGCCTCTGCCTTCTGGTGGGCGAACTCGATAGCATCCACTTTGTGCAAATCCTCCCTTGAGAAAATATGGATAACTTTTTAACAGCAAACACTCATAAAACTATAAGGGAATATGATTGATTTAGTAGAGACTTTTTTTGTTTGGTGATGCAGGCGTACCTGGTTAGAGGCCCTGGAAAGTTTCTCATCTCCTGCTGTTCCTGTGTCTCACTGAGAATCACCTGTACATACACAGAGACCTTGGTTTCATATTTTTGAAGCCATTTATGATAAGAAATTTTACAGACAGTGGAAGACACTGAGCGTGTTTATGGCATCTGAAAAAAGAAAAATAACACCAAGGTAAACACGATGACGACCAAGTCACTAGGAGTAATGCTGGTAAAAACCTCAGCTAATGAAACCGATGGTTGATGAAAAGATGGACAAGCATCATCCATCAATTCAATTCAATTCAATTCAAGTTTATTTATACAGCACCAAATCACGACAAGAGTCGTCTCAAGGCACTTCACATAATAAACATTCCAATTCTGGTCAGTTCATTAAGCCAATCAGAAATAATGTTTCCTATATAAGGAACCCAGCAAATTGCATCAAGTCACTGACTAGTGTTAGTGACTATACAGCAATCCTCATACTAAGCAAGCATGCAGTGACAGTGGAGAGGAAAACTCCCTTTTAACAGGAAGAAACCTCCAGAGAATCCTGGCTCAGTATAAGCAGTCATCCTCCACGACTCACTGGGGATGGAGAAGACAGAGCAGACACACACACACACACACACACACACACACACACACACACACACACACACGCACACACACACGCACACACGCACACACACACGCACACACACTCGCACACACACGCGCACACACGCGCACACACACGCACACACACGCACACACACTCGCACACACACACGCACGCACACACGCACACACACGCACACACACACACACACACACGCACACGCACACACACTCGCACACACACTCGCACACACACTCGCACATGCACACACACGCACACACACACGCACACACACGCGCACACACACGCGCACACACTCGCACACACACGCGCACACACACGTGCACACACGCGCACACACACTCGCACACACACTCGCACACACACACACACACGCACACACACTCGCACACGCACACACACGCACACACACACACACACACACGCACACACACTCGCACACACACACACACGCACACACACTCGCACACACACTCGCACACACACTCACACACACACTCACACACTCACACACACACACACACACACACACACACACACACACACACACACACACACACACCACACACACACACACACACACACAAGACACACATCAAACATTCACATCGTGAAATGTTTTACCGTCATCATTATCATTATTAACACAGCTGTCAAGGATGACCAAAGTGCTGAACAAGGCATTAATAGATTAAAAATCACAATAAAATGTAGTACTTACTCACTGATGTAGATAAGGTCAAATAAAAGTCGATAGTTACGTTAGAAAAGGAGTAAAAACACAACCATTAACATTTTTTTTATGAAAAAGGGAGTTTCTCACGCTGATAAAACACAAGAGACTTGTTTCATTAAACCACTGCTAAAGCTTACTGCTCTCCAGTGGATTTGATCACAACTACTTCATTTTCAACGTTAAATAAAAGTTAGAACTCACTTCCATGCTGTGGATCTGCAGCTGGCTGACACTTTCTGGTGCTGACAAGTGCGGGGTGACTCGCACGAGTTTGCCTGCAGGCCCGAAGCTCACCACTGCATGAGGGATGGAGAACTTCAGAGGAGCTGGGACCTGACGCGCAGCTTTGTGTTCTAAGAACAAAGCAGAAGAGACCAAAGGGACGAGTATGGAGTGATAAATGCTGAATGACCTGCACGTGTAAAGCGCTTTTCAGAGTCAGAGGACTCCCACATCCATTCACACACACATTCACACACTGATGGTGATGAGCTACGATGTAGCCACAGCTGCCCTGGGGCGCACTGACAGAGGCGGGGCTGCCGAGCACAGGCGCCACCCTCTGACCACCACCAGCAAAGAAGGAGGGTTAAGTATCTTGCCTGAGGACTATTACTGGACAGCCCGCTCAACCTCTTGAGCCACTGCTGTCCAGGGTGTCGTGGTGAGAAACAGAAGGTCTCTAATAGTCCACTAACCTGTGTCAGAAGTGGTGGCAGGCCATGGGTCAGAATCACCGAGGTCAGCTCCATTCATGTACTGACTCAGCTCATAACTGCTGGAAGACAGTCCCGATGTTTTGGACCTCTCCAGGGTCCCGGGGTAGTAGCAGGAACTCTCATCATCTCTGGAGGGAGTTTCTTCATGTTCTCTGAAGGATTGCAGAGAGCTGCTGTTGCCGTAGTCCCACCTGGAAGAAACTGGACGTTTTAACAAGTCACAAGTTTATGTGCACTCTTCATGAGGGTGGCTACGACTGGCTTGAATAATCCATTTTCCAAGGTGGAATAATTAAGCAGCAAACAACTTCAGTTAAAAACAAGAATTAGGTTTAGATCACATATGTCAGACTCAAGGCCCGCGGAGCATTTTTATGTGGCCCGCAAGATAAATATCAAAAATATATTAAAACTGGCCCGCTGGCCGATTTTACCGCAAAGACTGCAACTCCCATGATGCTTTGCGGCGTCAGCGCGGAGCCGATGCGCCCCCTCCTTTGTGTTTTTTCAGCGCCTGCTGCCGGTGTCTGCAGCTCCGCTGTCTCGGACAAACTAAACACTCCTCTCACTCAGCGCCGAGTTCACTCAGCTGTTTTCTGACGTTGAAGCCCAGAAACGGAGATTCTAGTCGCTCAGTAATGTGTTCACGACTGAAAGAGAAAGTTTTCCAACTAACGTCCAGACAGAGCTGATATAACTCCAGCGACACGCTCAAACCAGCACGACTCTGTGACTGCTGTCCTGTTTCCTCCCCGACACGCAACAACGTGGTCAAGCTGCTCAGACATGTTCATCAGCACAAACCTATGTGAGCACCTGTTGTCATCTAATGTTGTCATTATTCTGATGAAGATGAACAAAACAACAGGAGTCCTCCTCAGCTCAGATCAACCCCATGATGCAGGTATCTGGCTGGAACAGGTGAGCATCACAGTAAACCAGTGGAGCAAACCGAGCTTTAAATATGTTGGTTTTATGCTCTTTTTCTGCTCCAAAACATGAAAGTTAACAGGTGAGATGTTGCATTTTCATTTAAGATAAAATGATATTTTTATTTTGTTGTTGGCCCGTGAGAAAAGATTTAAAAGATTTTAAAAATGCTGATTTTACCACAAGTAATGAATAGCACTGATGCCTTTTATTTCAAACTGACTTGCTCGTGTGTAATTTGGTTATTCCACATTCAGTGTTAAAGCAGAAATATGTTTGTTTCCAAATTTAAAGGTTCAAAATTGCATATATGTTCATAAAGAAAATGTGCAAATTTGCCGTCACTTTTTCAAGAAATATTAAGTTTGGCCCTCGACTCCGTCCCAGAGTTTCATTTCAGCCCCGTGTGAGTTTGAGTTTGACACCCTCGGTTTAGATGTTTGAGGATTTTTTATTTTCTCTCCTCCACGCAGGGTCAGAGTTAGGCAAACAAGCTCTAATTTATACACACACCCTCTCTAATGGGAGTGTTAGTCAGGTAGCTTGACCAAACATGTCTTCTGTTTTTAAACAAGCTTCTGACGTACATCTTACTGTATTGTAAACACTAAGAGGGTCACACACAGTTAAACCCAGACCTAACACCAGCCTATGAAAGAGCCAACAATGTTTAGAAACAACGTTCTTGGATTTAACAGAAAACAGCAACGGAAAAGGCCGCTCTGTGGAACGTTCTGACCGGCTTTAGCTGCAAGACCAGTTAGTTTTTCACAAACTAATGGAAAATGAAAAACCTCTCGCTAATTTTACAGTTAATGCAGGTTGAAGTAAAAACATAGTGTTAAATTAAAGAGCAAGTAACGTCTAAACTAACTTTTTTTTGCTGATGAACTGTATAAATGAGTGTCTAATAGTGTTTTAAATGTGTGTATTCATTATTTTAGCATTTTGGTGCATTTTCTTTAAAAATTTAAAATTCTGCCTAAATACCACAGTATAGCGCCACCTTCAGCTTAAAACATAGAATTTGACTCATTTTGAATAAATTTTAGCCAATGGCTAAAGAGTAAGATACTACGTAAACCAGTAGAGTACTACATAGCAGCTCTGTGTCAAAGTTATAAAAGCAACGAGCGTCTCGGCCACGCCTTGTGGCGAGTTGGGAGTTGGATTTGCAAGCGAGTGTAGGACGGTTAGCGTTAGCATTAGCATATAGCATTAGCATATCCTAGTCTTTAGCGTAGCCTTTAGTGTTATAAATACTTATTTAGTGTTAGTTTGGCTGTTGGATAGTGTAGTTTAGTTAGTGTTTGGCTGTTAGTGTAATTAGGAAAGTAGTTCAGGTTTAGTGCTCCATATCGTGTTAGAATGGTGAGACGGTGTAGTGTAGTATGGTTGCGGTGGCTCTGTGGGGTTGCACTCCTTTCCGCTGGACTTAGAAATTAGGCGCCAGTGGTTGAGTGCAATCGGTGTCTGGAAAACATTCAGCTCCCGCCTGGTGCTGTAGTTTGCAACCAGCATTTTACCCGCGATTCTGCACGTCTCCGTTTGAAGAGGGAGGCTGTGCCCACCGTGGCTCTTCGTTTGTGCAATTAATAAAACTGTCTTTCCGTTTCAGTCTTCCTAAATGTTTTTGACTTGATGCCGTGCTCCAAGTTTCTCCTTGTGGAAGGATAAAGATCTGAACTGATCTTAAATTTATTACATTTATTCTTCACATGCTACAAACTCACTATTTTTATCCTTTCTTTAACCCTCCCACTGTCCTAATGGGCGTGACCCCGTGAGGAAAGTTGACCATTGAGCAGGACCGATGGTTTATCCCTTGAGGTCCATGTGGCAGGGGTGAGGTGATGCTCACTCCTCACCCCTGCCACCTGGATCCATGAGGCTCTATATCTAAATAATAGCGCTCCTTGGACACATTTGCTGTTCTGTATTTTTGTCTGAAGAGGAGACATGCTGCAGCTGCAGTCGGTTTTCCAACAGTCACGACTGTTTTTCCGTACTCGAGCAGTGAGCATGTCGCTCATAAGAACGTTTTTGTTGGCCATTGGTCCGTGTGTAGGTGGTGTGTATTGGCTATCTCGATGACCCCCCCTGCCTCATCCAACGACTGGGCAGTTGAAATGGAGCCAAAGGCGATGCACGGGCCGACGCTCGTCATCCGCAGCTCCTTTCTCCTTAATGACTACCAAATAGTTTCAAGAGTTGTGACCCACCTTGGTCTAGTTGGCCATTTTATTCGTCTATTTCCGCTGTAGTGTTGTACAGGATAGTGTCCCAAGGGTGATATTCTTAAAAATATATATACTTTGTTCTTTGTTCCATGTTATATTCTTTGGGCTACCGCATGCCACTCAGGAGTCCCCAACTGGTGTTGGTCCGTCCCCATTGAGAGTCAAAGAGCGAGGCCAGGTGTTCCTGTAGTGACCTTAAGGTTAGGATTTTAGGCTCAGAGGCAGGGTTAATGTCCTTAAGGTTAGGGTAAGGGTCAGAGTTTAGGGTTAGGGGCCTGTTTAGTGTCCTTAAGGTTAGGGTTTAGGGGCAGGGTTACTGTCCTTGGGTTTAGGGACAAGGTTAGGGACAAGGTTAGTGACAATAAGGTTAGAGTAAGGCTGAGGGGCAGGATTAATTTGGTTTTATTACATTTGGAAAATTGGACACATCATCAGTAGTGGACCCTGGGATCATCAGGTGTTTCGGCCATCATCACTAGACACCTTCACCCAAGGGAGGCCCATCCAGGGTTGATCAAGTCCCGGTGTGTGTCATTTAGTCCAATCAGGTTTTTGGTGAGCGTCCAATAGGGATTTTTGGCCAGTTTTGAGGGTAATGTCTGTGATTTATTTATTTATTTTTTTATTTATTTATTTCAGAAAGTTACTGTTAAGTTAAATTCTGAGTAACCTTTTGGTGATCATCCAAGTAGACTAGAACTAAAAGTTAGTTAAAACTAGGATATTTATTTGTACAACCCGTTATTATTTTCATCCAATCATTCATCCATTCATTCATTCATCCTATTTTTTATCAACTTCTACTTTTAAACATGTGGTAATTATTCAAGTAGGCTAGATTTCAAGGCTAGTAAAGCCTAGAATATTTATTTAAATAGTACTTTGTTGTATTAGCTCGTGTATTTATCCGTCATTAGCCTCGTAGTAATTAGCCTCTTGACAGAGGTAGTTCTATGTTTAATCAAATGTCACCATTTTAAATGATTGTTTACTTGCCAGAAAACAGAATAAACAGTTTTTTATGGTATGGAGTGCTGCAGCTCACCTGTGCTCCTCCATATTTGAAGTCTCTGCTCCTTCCTGTCTGTGTGTTCTTTCATTGGTTCTCCAAGAGTATGGGTCAGCCCACTGTTCACCACCCTGTTGTGCGTGTTGTCTTCTGTAGTAGTCATTATGGCCATAACTGTCTCTGGAGTCCCAGTGGCCGTGGGGAGGCCATTCATAACCATGCCTGGAGAATAAAAGCAGAGGAGGTTCCTGGTTTGGTGAAATGATTTACACACACACACTTCTTCAGCTGTGAGGTCTTGGACAACCCAACATGCACCTGGCAGGTGTAAAGGGCAACATATGCACCATCAGCTCTTCTAGCATCATCATTCTACAGCAGGGGTCTGCAACCTGCAGCTCTGCAGCCACTCATCAGTCCCTCATTAGTAGCTTATTTTAACTTTCACCATGAGGAGCCTATGACCCGTGAACATGGGAGACGTTTCTATTTGAGTTTACTATGTTTTGGTCTTTTTCATATCCAGGTTTTGCAATAAATGCATTGAATATCCAGAGTGAGATGATGCCGGGCTGTCTGTAAATTAAGTTTCTGACAGAACTTAGTAGATGTATGAATGAGGTGAGGTTGTTGTAGGATCCAGAATGCATGTGACTCGAGGAGAAAAGTAGATTACCTGACCTGTGGTACATAAACTCTTGTACTAACAGAGTTAAACAACTGAACCAAAGAGACGTGCATCATGATACTATAGGACTGCATCATCAGATGCACTTGTGAGATCACATTTGCTGCTGAGCTAAATGCTTGTTGAATTTCTCTCTAATTTGCAGCTGCTCACAAATTAAAGCTGAATTTTATATTTTTTGACATATTTGAACCATTTTTGTTGAATGAGGAAGGTTTAGTTCTTTTTTGGCAAAATTACTTAGTTTCTTAGTCTTCTAATGGTTTTTAAGTGTCTTAACGGTCTTGGGCCTTCTTATCTATCAGAACTGCTTTTACAATATGAACCCTCGCGGTCTCTGCGCTCCTCTGGCAGGCGTCTCCTGGTCATCCCTAAAGTCAGGACACACACTCACGGCGAGGCGTCCTTCCAGTGTTATGGCCCTCGCCTCTGGAACGAGCTGCCAGAGGACCTCAGGGCCGCAGAGAACGTTCATGTTTTTAAGTCAAGACACAAGACCCATTTTTTAGGTTAGCTTTCATCTAAATATTTTCTAGTTTTATTTCTCGTTTTACATGATTATATTTTATTACTTGCTTTGCATTTTTATATGATTATATTTTACCGTCTATATGATTTTATTCATTACTTATTTTCTAACTTTTGTCATTTATATTAGCTCTTTTATTATATTTTTACTCATTTTTAATCCAGTGTTTCCTCTGTAGAGGCCCTCTGCCCCGGGAGCGGTGGTCGACTGTTGCTTCCTGGGTGCTCTATAGGTGGGGGTCTATGCTCCCCCTCCACTGAGCGCCCTGACTTAGTGTGGAAGACCTGATGCTCCTGGGACAGACGGCTCCTCTGATGGCGTTTCCTTGCGTTACCATACTTGGCTCATCTGGGCTCAGCCAAATATAATTTGTGTGTGTGTGTGTGTGTGTGTGTGTGTGTGTGTGTGTGTGTGTGTGTGTGTGTGTGTGTGTGTGTGTGTGTGTGTGTCTGTGTGTCTGTGTGTCCGTGTGTGTGCGTGCATATGTCTGTTATTGTTTTTAACCTGTTATGGGAATCTGGGGTCATTTTGTAAAGCACTTTGAATTGCACTTTGTTTGAAAAGCGCTTTATAAATAAATTTGATTGATTGATTGATTGATTGATTGATAGTTTAAGCATCAGAATGTAACATTGTGCTAACCAGAAGAAAATCACTCCTCTAATGAACACAAGCTTTTGCTGTGGGCTTTTGAGAGTATTTTAAAGTTTAGCAACAACTTAATGTTTTTTTATTTATTTATTTGTATTTGATTATTTTTATGGAATTGATGTAAAACTTTGTGCTTTATTTATCTCATCTTGTTGACTTCTGCTTATCCAAGCCTGTCGTGGAGCAGCTGCCCCAACAGAAAACCCAGACTGTGTTCTTGCTTTCTTCTTCCAACAGCTCCTCCAGTGGGATGCCAGGCTGTTCCCAGGTCAGCCTACAGAAACAATCCATCCAAAGTGTCCTGGGTTGGCCCCTGGGTCTCTCCTGGAAGCAAATGCCTGGAGCATCTCCCCAAAGAGGCATTCACTTGGTTCCTCTTGACAGAGGCGTCAGAGGTCCTTCCAAGATGTCAGGCTCCTCGCCTTATCTCTAAACCCGTCACCCTGATAGTAAAATTGTCTCTTTCAGCTGCCGCAGACCTCTGTTCTGTGTGTTTACACGAACCAAAACATTCACTAAATGTTTTTCCTGTAGAAGAGTCTTCCTAAGGGGGACTTTGACTCACCTGGACTGAGGTCTTGGCTGTTCCCGCCACCCGTAGCTGTAGGAGTATTGCTGAGAGCTGTAAGGAAACTGCTCAGCTCTGGCAGGCATAAAATGAGCCATGTACTGGGATTCAGGATGGCCCCAGTGTCGACCTCTGTCTCTTGGGTCCAGTGGAGGATGGTTCTGGTCCCATTCCTGCTGCACGTACCTGGAGTGGACCTCTCTGTCTTGACGTCTGTGGGAGTGCCGGTTAGAATCAGGCAAGTAGTGACTTCTCTGATCCATGATGGCGCCAGACGTTTACATCTGAAAGAAATATTGGGAAAAAGTTAAAAAAGAACCGGATTCGTGTAAAGAAATGTGTTGGATTTGTTGCAGTGCTTACAGCTCGCACGTACCAGATGCAGTCAAAGTACACCCACGGCTGCCACATCATGGGAAACTCAGGACAGCTGATTACAGGTCAGCTTGATAAGAAAGGGTTAAAGTTCACACAGTGGGACTCAAAAACAAGCATGTTAGTTCAGCTCAGCAGACAGTTAGTTGCAGAGGTGATTTGAATGTATTTGTTAAAAATATGAATTAAAACTCTGCCTCTTTAGAGAACGAGGTTCCCCCCTCTCCTCTCCCCTCCTCTCCTCTTCAGGGAGCTCAGAGGAACACACCCTGACGGTGTTGACAGCAGCAGTCCATCTTCAGCTAGATCCTGGAAAAGCAGCAACATTCCCATAAGTGTCGTTCAGCAGAACAGACCCTTTCCGGGTTCCCTCTGAGGAAAAGTGCAACTTTGAAGAACTGATTCCTGCCACGTTGCCTGTGGGGAGGACGTGCAGATGCCTTATTGAGGGGCTGGTCTCTGGTCAGATTTACCTCATGTTATGGAGAACTGTGACGGCTGGAAACTGTTGTGGAATAAGCCCTAACAAGCTGTTTCAAAAGTGTCCAGCAGAGGTCGCTCAAATCCACCTTAACTCTCTTCCAATGAGCCAGAGCGGTCATTATTTCTGTTAGTATAAATAATTCATATTTAATTTTTTAATTATACGTAGCAGATTTATTCCTCATCTTTTTTTGGATGCAATTGTGTGAAACCCTCAGGAACATTTTCAGATATTTTGGAAACTCTTCCCAAATGCCGTTCACAAGTTGTCACCAAAGTGAAGCAGTGAGATGCTGAGCTGAGACCGGGCTGCGACATAATAAAGCCATTATCATAGCTGTCAAATCTAAATTATTATTTTGCATACTTGAAATGAATTTGAAAGCTAAGAGTTTGAGTTTTTAACTTATGGCTGTAATGTTCTATGTGACCATTTTTCTTTTTGCCGGTGGAAATTTGCTTAAATAGAATGGGTAACAAACATTTTAGGATATTTTCTTGCATTTCCCAACATTTTACTTATATTATTTGGAATAGAATAGAATCACTTTGCTTCACAAATGGAGGATAAAAACTTCCTAGATAAGAAGTAGGACTGAGCTGCTATGATTTCTTTCCAACTTTAATTTGCAAGCTCTATTTGCAATGACTATTGTCTGATGAAAACACCAGTGTTTTCAGAACTTGAGTCATTTTTTTTCACAATAAATCAGGAAAATAATCAGTGAACACTAATTACGTTTTTATTTTCTATAGGATATTTATTGTTCTTACTTTTCAGACCTGCAAGGGCTAAAATTAAACTGTATATAAAAATTAACAGGCTAATAATCTTTAGTTTGTAAACATTAATCGTTGTTTTTTAATACTTTTATTTTTAATTTTATGTGTTATTTTACTTTATGCCATATTTTACTCATCCATCACGCGCAGGTAGCTGGTCCTGGTACTTGACCTCTAGTAAAGGGGAAGGAGAGAAAAGGCAGTCTGATCATGCAGCGTGGCTGCAGCTGGGTATTTACTAGTGATGTGTCGGTCGCGAACGAACCGGCTCTAAGAGCCGGCTCTTTGAAGTGAATGACGGGTGCTGGCTCGTCATTGGGAGCCGTCCCCTCCCCCCTGCCTTGGTGAAAGCTACAGGCGATTGGTCAACATGTGTAACTGTGTGTCCAGACTGTCCACACACAGAGCAGTAGGGGTGGGGAAGAGGGAGGATCAGACTCAGACACACAGCAGAGCACATGCAGGTGGAGGGAGACGAGAGGGAATGAGGAGGAGGAAAAAGAGGGAGGAGAGTGCGACGAAGACGGTGAGAAAATGAGCGCCAGCAGTCGGAAAGTGGAGATTTCTTAAAGTGTTCAGTTATTAAATCCATAGAAATGATAAATATTTTATATATTGCATTTTTTTTACATTAGTAAACTATTTTACATATAGTTTAGCATTATTTTGGTGATAAATGTACTCTACGCAACAGAAAATCTGAGGAGCAACTTGGGAGCCGAAAGAGCCGGCTCTTTTTGGTGAGCTGAGCCAAAAGAACCGACTCTCTAAAAAGAGCTGGAATTCCCATCACTATTCCTGTTGTTCACTTTATACCACTAGGAGGCGCAAAAGCGTCCTCCAGAAGAAGTCGGTTTCCTCTTCTTCTTCTTCTCTTTTTTTACAGTAGTGTGTGTATTTGCATGTGACCAATGGGGTATGTTTATGTAAATGAGTTCTGAGCACTCAGCTTTGTCTTTTACTACGGAGGAGTCGGAACACCGGGTTCAGACAGAGAGGAACATTTGAGTCCAGCGAGCAGCTCAGGCTCCTCTTCGATCCGTGCAGGACACCAAACCGGCTGGATGTGCAACATGACTTTAGAAGAAACTGGCGGAGAGGACTCTACAGAAAGGTAAGTTCCAGTAGTTTTGTTGCACGATGCTTCTTGGATTGTTCTGTAACTTCTATGCAGTGTTTAATCACTCTGCAACGAACTAGCTTACAGAGTTAGCTAAAGGTCACGTTGAGCTGTAAACTACAATGAAAACACGTGAAAAGCGTTTTTTAGTTTCGCCGTGACGTCACGATCTGTCATCCGTCTCGTGTGACACGAGCCCAGACTTGTGCACCAGCTGGAGCTCGGAGCCGAGCCGTAGTTCTGATGCACTCATGGTTCTGTCCAGGATGGAATCGGTGGGTCAAGATGTGGAGAACGTCCTGAGCTCCGCGTTGCCTCAGGGTTGCATCATTGTGGGAGTCTATGAAGCAGCAAAGTCTCTGAACGCGTAAGTTACTCTGAAAGCCCCCCCAGCAGCAGGAGGAGACCCCGAGTGGGCTGCAGGCTGACCTTTCCCTTTATGTTTTTAGGGACCCAGACAACGTGGTGTTGTGTCTGCTGGCCACAGACGATGATGAAGAGGATGTGGCGCTGCAGATCCACTTCACCTTGATCCAGGCGTTCTGCTGCGAGAACGACATCAACATCTTGCGGGTGAGCAACATGAGGCGCCTGGCAGAGATCCTGGGCGGAGGGAAGCCTGGAGGAGAGCCTGTAGACCTGCACTGTGTTCTAGTTACAGTAAGTACCCGTGTCTGTTTACCCGTCATCTGCTGCATGTTGCTCACTGATTACTCGTTGTTCATAATCCCAATGTGTTTGTTTCCTTTCTGCAGAACCCTCAGTCAGCCCTGTGCAAGGACCCTGCACTCAGCAAAGTGAACAGATTCTGCAGAGACAGCCGCTGTTTGGATCAGTGGGTACCGGTCATCAACCTTCCCGATCGATGAAACTGGAATATTTTTTTGCTTTATGCATTCAGGAGGAAAGCAACTGCACCAGGCCCGTGTGAATGTCTGTGTTGGACTTATTTGGAACGGCCTCCCTCCCTCCCAGAGAGTAACGGTAAAAGTCAAGGAGGGGGCAAAAAAAAAAGAGAGAGAGAGCAGGAACAGAACCATTCCAATGAATTTACAAGAAAGAGGACGAGCATCAAGGAAGAGTGAGTCAGCAGTCGGCGTTCCTGGATTTCCGAGGCATGGCTGTGTGTCTCTGCCAAAAAAAGAATTCTTTCTGAGGACACGGAGCCACGTGGGATGAACAAGCAAATGCGTGATCACATGCACGCGAGTCTGGGGGAAAGCAGGCGACCACTCCGAGAGCCGGACCACGCTGAGCTGGACCAGCTGATGTAGAACTTCTTCAGCAGCAGCACATTTATTTAATTCTATTTAAGACTTGAGAGGACATTTTCTCTGCTTCTTGGTGCCTCATTATTTTTATTTTATTTTCTCTATGGGCGTTGCAATGTCTAGACATGCCCACGAACTGATGTTTTTATGTGTCATTAACTTAATAAATTAAATTTCCTGAGCATGGTTCACCGAGTCTGCTTTAAACTGGATGAAGTAAACAAACAGCAGCTGTCAGGTTACTTTTGACACGCTGAGTTCCTGTTACTGCAGGTTTTGTGATCTTACAGGAAGTCACATGGTATGCTGTTACGGAAAGCTGCACAAAGTTCAGCTTATTGTGTGTTTGGAATTTATTTTTGCACTTAACCAGGAATTTTCCCTTCAGTTTACTCTTAAACTTTTCTGCGAGCAACTGGTTGATTTGAATCAAATAAAATGGGGCAATTTGCATATTTTGAAGGTCTTAAACAGAAGAGACGCACATCTGCAGCCCTAGCAGCATTTACAGCTAAGAAGATTAAAATAGAAAAAATAAAATGAATCAGGGGAAACTCTAGTACATGGAAAAAACTAGAACTTCTTGTACACAGAAGGGTGGGACAAAGCTTTCCACGCCACAATGGAAACATGAGTCAGGACTTTTCAGGTCTTATTGCTAGAGCTGCGCAGCACTTTGGCTTGGTGGCTAAAAATAGCCCCGTGAATAGAAGCGTTCCCTCTGACCACCAGCACACCAACAATAGGGGCACTTGTGCTCCACATAGAGACCGCAGAGAAATCAAGATGACAGTGGGCCTCACTGGTGCTATCTCTGCAGGGGGGAGCAGATGGAGAGGAAAAACTGGGTCAAAATGCAGAACGATAGAAATAAACGTGGTTTCTCACAGAGGCAGAAGGTTTGACGTTAGTAAAAATTGTGCAAATGCTGGAAAACTCAAACATTTTGGTATGGGAATTTGTGAAAAGTCTCACCTTGCAGCGTTTGGACCGCTTCAGCCTGATGCATCTGAGGAAGTGAATCAATCTGCAGAAATACCAGAGAAGAATGACTGATTGAAGGAAAGAAGAAGAGAAAGCATGCACACCGCACTGGAGCGGGACTGGCTGCTAAGAAGTGGGTGAGATACTCAAGATAGCTGATTATTAGCTTACTCGGGGGATTATTTGCCCATCTGACAAACAATGCATTCACCTGAAATAACAGTGACGCTCGTCTATCATCTGATTCAAACAAGGATTACATTAATGTGGGCCAGCAAATGTGCGTTTGACCTGAATTTAGATGTAACATCACACCTGAGGAGATGGGCAAGAAATGGGGAGAGTGGGCCGCACACAGCACCGGGGATTATTGCATAACAGCCATCTTATGGCTCAGAGGCACACAAACACTGGCACAGAGAAACTAGAGCAAACATGTTTGTGCCGCTGACCTTATTGGCTCTTCCACCAGTTTGAACACTGCGACCTGTGACTCTAAGGGGTGGAAATCACATTTATAACCCGTCATTTTAATCACAGTTCGTGTTATTCATGTGTGTGACCTACATATAAATACACACACCCAGTTAAAAATATGAACAAATACCCAAGAGCTTCTTTTATGACGTGCTTCTCAGATGTCGGGTCATCAACTGTGAAGGTTAGCTTGAAGTTTTCCAGACAATTCTCAACGTTTAGAGTTCCTTTGTAAACTAGCCTGAATGGTGTAAAGGTTAAAGTTTCACATCAGAAATGATCAGATGTGTGAACTCATCTTTGACCTCCAGCCATGGACGTAATTTTGGGGAAGGGCCAGGGGGGACATGTCCCCCCCACTTTTTCCAAAGTCAAGTTATGACCCCTGCACTTTTTACCATCCAAAAACAACATTACTTTATATTAAATTGACACTGGTTGAGCTCTAGGACCAAGCGGAAAACAACCGATTGTGTTGAAGCCTGTTTCCCATTAGAGCATATTGTAAAGATACTCCCCCACCCCCCACCCCCCCACTTCTAAAGTGAAAATTACGTCCATGCCTCCAGCGGATGCCTGTTCCCGTTTTCCTACTATAAAAAATCCTTAGACTTGGTAACTCAGTCATCCGTGTGTGTGTAAAGGTCAACTTTACTCATATTTAATACATTTGTAGTGGTCTCTAGCAGGAATGAATGCCTTGTAAGTTGAGTTGGGGGGTGGGGTCACCGGCGCTGTTGTTTGATGACGGAGAAGTCCGCTGGAGGAGAGAGTGGCAGAGCACGGCAGGATTTGGAGTCTTATTTCCTGACATTTGGATATCTTGCCTCGGATTGGATAACAGCAACACGATTCTACCGCTGACTCTGTTTGCTCTGCAATGCTGATGTTTTACCTCCACAAATAACACAAGTCTAGAGGAGTTCTGCTGTGTGGTGGAGTTGCTAATGCTAATGGTTCGTTTCTAATAGCCAAGACATTCTCCGCTGTTTCCTGGAGGCTAAACCAACAACAGCCTTCTCCGTCATGAGTCAGGACGGGGGAGTCCATGAATGTTAAGCGACAGTGCGACAGATCTGTCAGGCTTTCCAAATCCTAGAGTTTAACAGTCTATTTTCCATCAGAAGCTGATGCATGAGGTAGTTGTAGGAAATTATTTTCATGTTCAGCCTGCACGACAAACTCATAGAGACTGATGACAATCAGAAAAAAATTCAAAAAAAGTTTTTTTTCAGTCATGTTGACCTTTGAACTGCAGATCACTTCTTCAGAAGATGAACTGCTATAAACAGTTGTGAAAAAGAATGAAATTAGAAAGAAACGCACCTTAGATCGTCATATACGATTGAAAATTAACAGCTTTAATAACGTAGCTGTGGAAGATGGACAAACTTGCTCTGCTAAACATGTACGAGGTTATGAAATGCAAAATGTTGTTTGAACAAGTCAGTTTGGACTTTAGTGTCACAAAGTTCACAAAGTGACATTAAGATCCTGACTGATCCAGTCTCCACAGCCTTTACTGTTCAGGGTGGGGAAAAGGCTTTGGAGGTCGATGGGAGGTTGAACTGTCAGTGTTTGATCCCCAGTGAGGAAAACAACTTCACATTTTATACCAACGGATGAACTGAAACCCACAAATGACCAAGTTTCACCTAAAACACTGCATGCTCAGCTTTTTAAGTTTGTCATTTTCGTTAATGCTTAAAGAGTTCAGTAAAACCCCTCGGGTCACGCAGACGAGCAGATCCAAGAACAACGGTCCGTGATCCGATTCATGATACTTAGGAAGGTTTTGTGATTTTGGTTTTTCTTCATCCTGGCATTTCAGCAGTCCAGGTGAGAATAGTTAGTCTGCTTATTGGTCAAACTGTCTGCAGGTGGAGCAACACAAGAATGGTGAGCATAATGAAAGCGTGAGGAGAAAGTTTATACCTGAGAAAAGAGCAGTGCAGCTGCAAGAAAACATTTCCTTTCCAGCTGGAATCCCACTGGATCAATACCAGTCACATGCGCATACCGTATGATGTCACTGCAACCAAACTGTGACACTCATGAAACTATTGCGCAATTTTTTCAAACAATTTATTCAAAAAGTCTCTTAATTACATCTTAATCTTGTCTCATTTCCACGTTTGCAATATATGCTTGCACGTTAGCACCATGAACATCTACAGAGTTCAGCTACAGAACAGTGCAGGGTTTCTTATCCCTGAAGGGGTTTTCTGAAGCAGGGATTCCCATGAGCAGAGGGTCATACTTGGCCTGCTCTCCACAGTAACGCATCAGGTCTGATGACGCCTTGGACACCTGCAAACAGGTGATGTGTTTGGTCAAACAGAAGCAGGAACACTGGACAAAGCAGTGGGAATGACTGTAAATAAGGACACACCCTGATCCTCCTGATGTTGGCCTCCATCCTCAGCTGGCGCACCAATTGTCTGGCCTGAGTGACGCTGCTGGAACTAGGCATTCTTGAAGTCATTTCTGTTTTCACAAATCTGCTGTTACACCTGCATGAGAGAAATAGACTTGCTACATTCAGTTGAAAGATTCACCTTGTCGTGTCCAGAAATGGTCCATTTTCACCTACATATCGACCTACATGCCACTGATCATCTGCAGACATACGTCCCATCCTCTAAGGTGGATTTTACACTCCTACAACTCCTACAACCTCTCGAAATTGGACGGAGACAGTGTTAGCCGACATTTCACGTCAAGTGGAACATAATTTCAAAATACTTTTTGAGACAAAACAACGTTTTGATTTTTCTAAAAAGCAGAACACAAATGAAAGCAGATGTGGTCGGGGTCATCTGTTTTACAATCTGATGCTATCAGGTAATGATTTTCTTTAGGTTCTAAGTGAGTTGCCTCAGTTTTGGTAACAGGTTATTTATGTGAATATGTAGTCTGTCCATGACAGAATAAACGGTTGTTTATAAAACTGTTATTGGACAGCGTACAACGTGGTGTGTTCACCACTACCGATGTCAGCCACTGGGGCAGTCCACAAAACACTGTAGAAGAAGATGCATATGCATCCTTTTTCTAAATAAAGGACTAAAGTACCTCTATCTGCTCTTGACTCAACCCAAGTCTAAAGTTAATGCCAAAGCTGTCTCAAACGAGCCGCCACCATCTTAGTTGTTTCTCTCTGCCTCATAATTCCACCCACCAAACTGATAGAGCGCTGTGATTGGCAAAACACAAAACTGGTTGGGCCTGAGTCTCCTGTGGAGCAGGAACAATTCATTTTATTTTGGCTACTATCCATCTAGGTTTCTAGGCTACTGAAACGTAGGAATGAAATCACTTTGATAGCTAACCAAAACTATTTCCTGGTTCATATTAGTACAACAGAAAAGAAAAGCAATCCATCTGGGTTTAGCCAAGGTGTTCCAGTCAGCGAATTGTCATGTTCTGGGTCCCTTTGTTCCCCAGCCCCTCCAGTTCCCACTCCAGGTTCTCCTTTTGTGTTTCATAGCGCCCTCATGTGTCCTTTGTCTGCATCTCATTTATGTGTCTCCTGTGTTCCTTTAGTCGTCTCCAGTCATCCCTCTGCAGTGTTTATAGTTTCAGCTTTTCATTTTTATTAGTCTCTTTAATGTTTTGTCCCACCGGTTTTTGTAGTTCTCCTTCCCTTTAGAAGTTTAGGTATATGGTTGCTTTTCTGTTTTTAGGTTCACTCTTAGGTCATGTTAGTTTCTTCCCTGATTGGTCATTGCTTTCACCTGGTCCTCCCCCCACACTCCACACACCTGCAGCTCATCTGCCTCCCATTATGCCCCAGTGTATTTAAGCCCTGTCTTGTCTCTGTGTCTTGTCGGTCCATTGTCGTTGTCAGTGTTGTTTTGTTTTGTCCGTCTCGTGTGTTCTCCTGATCTTGCTCATGAAAGAGCTTCTGTTTTGCCTTTTTGCCAGCATTTGCCTTTGGATTTATGCCCAGCCTCCTAAAATAAAAGGATTTTTACTTCATATCCACTTCTGCCTCGTGTCATCCTGGGTTACTGCATTTTGGGTCCAAACCATCCTCTCGATGTGACACGAATAATAGGTAATATTAATAATAGGTAAAAGCTGTCATGGTCTGCGTCTCCCCTCATGTGTCTCCTTGTGTTATCCATCCCTCTCTAGGTTCTCCTTTTGTGTCTCCTAGCGCCCCCCTGTGTCCTTGCCTGCATCTCATTTATGTGCCTCTTTGTGTTCTTCATGTGTCTCCTGTTTGCAGCCCTCCAGATCATTCCTCCCAGGTCCTGTGTTCCTTCAGCTGGTCCCAGCTCCCTCATGGTTTTCTTCATGTTCTGTTAGTCCCCCTACCATAGTTTCTATAGAGCTCCGGGAGTTGACGTCACTTCTCCCGGCATGCAACAGTTCAAATCGAAACGGCGCCTTATTGGCATGCAGAAGCCCGCAGCTGGACTATTTGTTATTGTCAGAAAACTCAATCAAACGGGAAATATGGTAGATTCCTGTTGTGCCCCAGGATGCAGAACAGACGCGGACGACATAAGGAATGAGCCATCTACAGGATTCCCCAAGATCCGGAGCACCGCAAACATTGGATCATTGTAATAAAATGCACTAGTGACCAGGCTAAAATGAAACTGTGGGATCCCGAGAGTAAAGGTTTTCACTTATGCAGCGACCGCTTCATATCAGGTAGTTAAACCAACGTTTCCTCAACTGTGTATGGTATTTATTTTAAATGCTTTTATTACGATTCTTAGTGGGCTTCCTAAACTTATTTTGGCGTGGCCTTTTCTGTCTTATTACTCATAGCAACAAGTAAACATCACGTAAAACGTTGCCTCGTGAGTTCTGCGTGCTGCCGTTTCCGTGTTTTATGATCACAGCAATTAACCGGCTAAGCTGTATTTAATTTTTAAGCAATGGTTGATCAATTGTCAGATCACACACCGAGACTACTTACGTGTAAATCTGTTATTTGTCCGTCCATCCATCCATTTTCATCCGCGTATCCGGAGTCGGGTTGCGGGGGCAGTAGCATGACTTCCCTCTCCCCAGCCGCCGGAGCCAGCTCCTCCGGGTAAATCCCAAGGGGTTCCCCGGTCAGGTCCGGTGTTGTGCCGGTAAGAAGCCCTCTCCGACAGCTTCTGGCGTCGGAGCGGGCAGTAGAGTCGAGAGTCCCAGACCTTCTCCGCAGCTCCTCCGGCCAGGGGAATCCCAAGGGGTTCCCCCGGCCAGGTACGGTGTTGTGCCGGTAAGAAGCCCGCTCCGACATCTTCTGACCTTTTTAAAAAGTATCCCAGGGGCACGGTAAGGGTCGGAGATGTTTAGTCTATTTAATTTATGACTATATAAAACGATTTCTTCTGTTTTAAAGTGTGAAGTAAACTCCGACGAAGTAAAATCCAAGCGGATCCCGTTCATGTTCATGGTTACATCCGTGTTTGTTTACCTTTTTTGCATGCCAAAATGGCGTCCACTAACTGAGAGTCACGTGGGGTCCGGAGCTCTATAGGTCTATTATTTCAGGTGTGTGTGTGTGTGTGTGTGTGTCCTTCCCCAGTCAGGTCTGGTGTCCTCCCCTGCTCCTTTCTGCTCCTCCTCTCGGTTATTGTTTTCACCTGTGCCAGTTCCCCACACACCTGCTCCTCATCTCCTATCACTCCAGCCCCAGTGTATAAAACCCTGTCCTTGTTACAGTGTTGTGTCGGTCCATTGTTTTTCTTTCAGTCTCGTTGTGTTTCGAATCTCTAGGGTTTCCAGTGTTTTCCTGAGTCTCTCGTGTTTTTGAATCTACAGTCAACGTTTGGATATTTTTGGTTTTCGGCTTCCAGCACTTTGGATTTTATTTTTGTTCATCCCAAATAAAAGGATTTTTCTGTATATCCACTCCTGCCTCGTGTCATCCTGGGTTCTGCATTTTGGCTCCTAACCTCCTCCTTGCTCGCATCGTGACAAAAGCAGGCCCTGGGACCCCAGTTATTTTGGTGATATTTAGTGCTGCTAAGTATCAAAAACAACTTTAAAATACGAATTAAAGCCGTTTTATTCTCCCTTCACCATCAGAGCATTGCACCTTACTGCATGTGTGTGATTCAGATGTCCGTGATTTATGACAGCATGCCAACTTTAAATACAAACAGTAAAAAAGAAGGTGCAGTTCCAAAGGGGTGCATGCATTACTCAGTAAGGAAAGCCTCTTCTTTCTGCAGATCAGAGTTGTGAAAATCATTTGTGCATTATGTACATCAACCATGCATATTTCCAAGTTAATCATTCACTTAAACTTTTTAAAGATTTATTTTCGCAGAATCTCGCCACCAGATAACTAAATTATCTTTAGAGTTTCTATGTATGAACTAAACTCAAAGAGCCACAGAACAAGTGAGTCGAGATCTTACTGCTTTTAAGCAACTGGCTTTTCACTAAATGCAATTGTAAAAAAAATAAAGTGGCATGTCCGACTTACATGTGATAATGAACAACAATAAGATAGACGTCGGTGCGTAATAAACATGGGATGCTTAATTATCTAAAGTAGGGGCATGAAGGGCCTCATGCCTGCGTGCCTTTCTTGGCAAATTATAGAAAAAAAATCAAACAATGCAACAATAGAATCAGCGAATAAAGTCTCCGATGCAGACACACCTGGTCTCTGTGTCTGTGCAACTTCTCAGAAGTGAGGTAAATTGACTCAGTCTGTGGAAAAGCTCTGACCCAACCTAACAAACTCCTGTTTCACAATTCCCACTTCCAGGATGCAACGGTTTGCTTTTACCGGCTCATTACGTCACTGCCTGTAGGAGAGATACCACGGTTACTATTTCCTAGTTTTCATTCCAGCCAAACTGCTGAGGTCACGGCAAAGCGGAAGCAGACCTTGAGCAAAGCCTGACATCTGGTTTCTGCACACAACAGAGCTCCACAGAAGACCAAAGGACAGCTTCTAATGCGTCAGGAACAGAACAGAGTGCTAATATTGGGACAGTCGTCGCTTGTGCAACAATTAAAAGCCTGTCTTTGTACCCAGCAGTGGCTCGACTTAGATCATTTGTAGCTATTGGTCCTGTGATAACTGATAAAAAAAACATGATGGGAAATGACGGGGGGGGGGGGGGGGGGGGGGTGCTCTGTGCCCTGGTTCCGGATATCACGGGGGGAGGGGACACGTGGACATGCAAGTGAGATGAAGCATGGACAACTGTAAATCTGAGGAGAGGAGACCATGCATCCCTCTAATTCCCCCACCCACTCCTCTTCCGCTTCCTCCACAGGAAACGGGGTCCTCGGCTACCCTCCAGAGCATAAATGATTAAATATGGGGTAGTGGCTTTAAAAATAGGAGCTGCACACGCAGCAGAGCCCCTGTCAACAGAAGGAGTATGGTTACTGGTATAGAAACCAGGGCTTCTGAAACTATTTTAGGGTATATTCTCGACACATTTACTGGCATTAAAACCACAAGCCGCCGCATACAGGTTCAGTCAGAGCAGTTTACACAGTTTGCTGTCAAGAGTTTCCCGACCTTTGGACTTATTGT